GTGTGTTCTAGAGACACAAAGTGGTGGGGGCGGGGTCACCCAGATTTGATGTAGGCTTTTGTTAATAGTGAGTTTGATATGATTTCCATAATTTCACATTTTTTTCAAAGACTGATGGTCTATAGTTACCACACTTACAAACTAGCAAGGTTATCCGTAAGTCCTTCCAATGTACCCTTGTCTATATGCGTCAGCTTATTATAAGACAGTGTACTGAAAACCGAAAAGTTAACAATGATATCATTGTCATTGTCATGTCATCGATGTCATGTCGAATAATAAACTGAACAAAGTATTACAGGGTAATTTAGTACTATCAACTAAGTTGATAACGTAAATTGGCCATCGTTAAGGATTAAAAAACTGACGTTTCGAGCGTTAGCCCTTCGTCAGCGAAGTAGTACCAGATTACCCTGTTATACTCTCCCACCGAAGCAGCACCACAGTTTCTTTAAGAAACTTACATAGTCCCTTTAAACAAGATATTAGCAACGTAAAATTGCGTGCTGTTAGTTTTCTGCGGTAAACTTGATTGCCACTTGTCAAGGATGTGATAAATGATGTGTGCCCGATTTAGAACCCAGTGAATTTAACTAGTTTAAGGAGATGTGTCTGCATTTTAATGAAATAAATTTATTATCTTCGCAATTAAGAGTGTACTTGTCAATTCGAAAGTGAACTCCGCCACTTGAATCTTACCTTGCCCACTCCTCCCCCTTCCTAGCCTCCCCTCCCCCATAAACTTGACGCTTGACGATCAGTGAGAATACTTGACCCAGAGGAAATACAACGCGGTAACTGTTTGTAAACCGCGCCATATGTAGTTTTGCGTGCGTGGACAGGTTAAATAATTGTCTTGGAAATGGTGGCGCCCACATTAGCTCTTGTAGCATATTTGAAGAAAATTTGTTTACCTTTTTGGAATATTAAAACATACCGTCAAATACTACTTACAGGTCTTGTAATTGCTGCATCGACCGAAAAGTTCCATTTTGTATATTCTCCAAGTCGCAATATTTCATGGAACTACATACAAAAGTTATTGAAAAATAAATCATCACAAAGCAGGTTGGTGCTGTAGAAAAAATTGAGCAAGACTGAGATCCACGTTATTGAAAGTTTCCTGATTTAAGAAACTGCCTTCGGGAGAATTGTTATTTTTTTATTTGTCAATGAATGTCTTTTTGAAATGCAGGTGTCTTAATTAAGGACACTGTTGGACATTTCTGTGAAAAGATATGAATGAATATCTTTCATTAGCCAAGTGGAGAAGAATTATCTTCTATTTCAAAACGCGCTTCTACTGAACAAGGACCTCATCTAACTCTATCTTTTGACGAAACCTTCAAGCAAGTCAACTCAGCGATGGTCATGACCAATAATTTGCAGTTCCATGCATAGAGCAATTTTCAATTGAGTGTTAAAATTTAATCCAAAATTTTGTTTTGGTTTTGCAAAGTCAGTCTTTGACTGATCTACAAAGCTCGCATCATCCTTTTAACCAATCAGATGCAAACGAAAACCTATCGTGATTTGGTCGCCCGCGTTTTCCCGCGTTTCCCGAATTTGAGTTTTCACTTTGAGTGCTCATTGGTTGTTGATGATGTAAACCTTTGTTATGATTGGCCGTTGTGGTTACTTTGGTTTTCGTTTTTCTACAGTCAATTAAAAACTGCTCTGCTACAAAGAAAAGCAACGAGAGCTCGCTCGCTGGCTCGCAGTCCAAGCGTCGCAACCAACTTCGGGAATAACTTTATCATGAGACAAACATTAATACTTTGTTCTATGGTGGTGATTTGTATGTTGAGCTACTTAACTTACAGATATTTCATATCGTTAAAAACAGCAAAGATATCTGCTGGCAGAGATGGTCCAAGTGGATTTGAATTAAGGTATCTGTAAAAGTGAACCGTTTGCAATCAGTAAAAACTCTCTTCTACATCCAGGTAGGTCGACATGATATAGAAACAGATGGCAAATATTCATGCTCAATAAAATGTGACGAGTGATATAACAAGGTACAAAAGCAATAATTGGCAGAATAATGATAACGCAAGAGATCGAGGATAAGGTTTATTCTCTCTTGTTATGACATTACTTCTAGGATAACTATATCTTACTTACATTTTTTTAAAGTTTTTTCCGGATGAAAAGTTACACTTACAGTTTCCGAAGCCGTGTTAGTCCTTTGAGAATGACCCTTACATCCGCAATTGATATCAGGTTGTGTTCCAGTTTACTAGGCAAATAAAATACTTAAAATTAATTAGCTTTTTGATGAATTTAACGGCGTTATGATTACTCACGTAGCCTCATTCCATTTGCCTCACTCCATTTGCCTCACTGTGTCTCATCCATGAACAAATAACATCCCTTTTTTTAATGAGAATGAGCTAACAAGAAACATCAAAATAAACAAGACAAAATAAAACATAGTATGACTTTTTTAAGATGGCATGCATAGGTAAATCTGAACTTTACGATGAACTTTCATCTACTTTAATTACTCACAGTATAGAAAGGCTTGGAGGAAGGTAAAAATTCCCTGAAATTGAATTCATTTCCAGATTTCTGGAAAGAAAATGTCAGCGAATGTTAGGAAACGAAGACTAGGTAATTAATTACCTCAATAAATTTTTTTCGACTATATGATGCAAATTTACTGTTGAATGCAACAATTAGAAATTCCCTTACATAATATCCAGATTCTTCATATTCTTGAAAGTGTTTTGTGGAATGTGCCGCAATGAGTTATTTGGCAAGGCTCTAGGAAAAAAGAGCACACAAAAAAGCTAGTCATGATCAGGTGCAAAAGTTTAAGTAAGCCAAATGTTCCCCGCTAATTTACTGCGCTTTTCTTAATTTAAAAACCGTTTGGAGAAGAACATTTTCCAAGTGCAAATCCCTCATTCTGATTCGCTAAAGTTGTAGGCATCTATCAGTTAAAATTATTGGGTTGCTAACCAATGGTCTTTTTTGCGTTTACAGTTGACTCGGGAAATATTTTGTCACCTGGGAAAGTTCCTTTTCTAATAACCGTTTCAACAATCCTACCTATTTTCCTTGATACTTGACAGTTTTATCTCAATTACTACTTACAATTCCTTCAAAACAGTCAAGTCCCTAAAAGTGTCTTCTGAAATTGTGTTCAGGGAACAACTTGAAAGATCTCTAAGGAACAAATTGAACATGGTTAAAAGAATAAAAATGATTAAAATGCAATTTGCAGAGTCGACGTAAAAGATATATGTTACCTTCTAAGGGGAGTGTTATTGAGAGGTCTTGAATCAATGCCACATAAGCAAAAATAACGCAAAAGAAGGTGTGAAATTTCAAAAGGAGGCAATAGCATGCAATTTACGCAAAGAAAGAGAATTTGTAGAGGAAACAGGATCGTGAATTTCTTAACTCTAAGTGTAAGAGTTCGTATCCAAACTATGGTGGTGTAATTTCCCCCAAACGAGAGATGAGCGAGATGGGTAATTTTGTGAAAGAGAAATGTGCCCTTTAAAAAAGTGGGTTCGTACAAAAAAAATTTATCGTTATAGGTTATCAAGAATTGGAGTGAAATTGAATTAACGAGCTGTTAAGTACATAGAGAGAATATTCATGAAAGCTAACAAAAAATCACAAGTTCAATTGACGCAAATTTCTTAAACGAAGCTGGGGGTGCGATTGTATTAACGTGGCGAATACTAAAATGAAATGTGCTTTCGTGTGAATCGAGGCGACTGGTTATATATTGTGATCAGTGTGGTTTTTCCTACGATAAATTTGTGTATGCGTTTTTTTTATGTGTGTGTGTGTGTGGTAGGTAATATACCAAAAGAGAAGATGACACGTCTAGAAAGAACAAGGACGATTAACGTTTTTACATCACTTACAGTGTCAATGTATTGTTTGGGATTTTGGCCGGAATGGGTCCATGAAAATGACATTTTACTCTCACCAGGGCGTGGGTCCTACCAAATTTAAGGCATTTACAGATTTCAGTCAGGCTGCAAACGTCACTCTCACATGGTGTTACAAACCAAAAGACCAAGATGACTTGTATCAGGCCAATAAACATCATTACAGAGTCCAAACTAGGTTTCTGGGAACAAAAGTTACAACATCTTCATTTCTAGATTAAGAACTAAAAGAAAATTCATTTCCGTTAATTGTCCTTTTAAAGCAGCAGAGCTTTGTCTGCCAGGCAGATCTCTCGCGAAAGTTTATCGACATTCGTGCGCATTACTGACATTTTGCAATGCTTCAAGTTGGGAAATAAAAGAGTAGCAGTCCACTGATGTTTCTCTTTCAGTAAGATGAACGGTCATAAAAATTGCTAAACTAGGTTCCTCATTAGATGGAAAATAAAGAGACAGATACGCTATTGTAAAGGCTCTCTATGTCAATGTCACCTGTGTCTTTCCAACAGTCATGAGACGGCCAATAACTTACCTCATATGAGAGTTTAAGGTTCTTTGTAAAACGCATTGAAATACCCACAATCAGGCCGCTAAATATATTTAATTGCAACTTTATAAGAAATGGGAAGTTATAAAACTAGCTTGCGTTTTTATCTTCCGTTAAAAAAGGTCGAAAGCAGATTAAAAGGCACTGTCCGTGCGTTTTTGAATAAATTATTTACATATAGCATAGTTTCGAACCATCCCTGTTTGTTTTTGATAGGAAATATCTGAGTGATTTTAGAGATATTATTGGCTGATATATTATGGACGATAAACCCAGAGAGAAAGTGATTCATACATATTAGAGACGACTAGGATTTTTACATATCATGTTTACAAAACTGATTTGTTGACGTTAACTTCCTGTTCATGCCTAAGTCAGTAGTCATTGCTTTTCCATCCGGTTTTGTTTTCTTCCCAATAATACCGTTTGGTTTCGAGCCGTTTTCAAATGATAATTGAGCAAACACATCTTGATTGTGACAAGCAGCAAAGAACCAGAAACAGGGTTCGAATCTTGAAGCCAAGGAAAAAAACGCAAGCGATCTCTTCGGCAAAAAAATTTAAATTCTCAAGCGTAGGTAAAACATCTAGAGGAGGTTGCACACAGCATCGAAGGTTAATCCCTCCTGGTAAGTTACTGGTGTAGTAAGACATTGGACTAGTATTCATGTTCATAAAATTTTGGTTACACTCCTCGTTCTTATCATAGTGTTGCTAAGTATCCAGTTCAAGCATGGAGATTTCGTGTTCCAACATTAACAATGGGAAAAAGTTGGAAAATGTTTAAATTTAAAAAGGGTTCCAAATCCTTCTCGAAACTTCCGTTGAAATTAAACCTAAAAATATGTTTAATTAGGCAAAAATGTATTACAGTGCCTGAATAAGCATCCTTCAATTGCTGACCTAAAAAAGGGCATCCTCAAACTTAAACAATTGCACACTGTCGTTGTTCCTACAATAGGATTTGCGTCAGCTTTCACACTAGCTGTTAAGTAGACTTGAGTCTTCTGCAGTGAGTATTTTACTTCTTCACGATAATTTTGCGATGTCGGCCTTCTATGTTTTTGAAGGACCGTTATTAAGTGTGTTCATCAGATTCTACATGCAGTTGCATCCGATTGCTTTCCGTCTTCAACGTCTTTGGTAAAGAACTGTTGGCCTACCGGTATAAATGATTGAATTTTCCTCTTTAAAGTCCATAGTAAAGCTCAGTCTTGTCCTAGAACCTTCTGAAAACTTAAGTGTGTTCGAATATGCGAAGAAAACAGACGTCTGATGCTAGCTTACGGAATGTGTTAACGAGAACAGTTTCGCCATGGGAAATTTAGGAGAATTGATACGAAAGCAGACCAAGCAGATAACAATTAATTTATCAGATTTCAAATGGTAATTTGCATGAATACCGGTGGCGAGTTTCCTGAACTTCTAAAGGTTAGCCGCAGCTAATCCCGTCCTCAAAGAGCGAAGAACGGGCATATTTCCGGGCCAAATGGAGGCTATTTCGTTTATCATCCTTCAAATTTTTTTTGCAAATTAGTTAAAAAAAATGTTTATCGGTACAGCTAACCATTAACTGCGTGGGTTTTTAACTTTTCAGTGCTGGTACAATTTTATGAACAAACAAGCATGTCCCCTCTTTGTTAACAACCACAGAACGCTCTCTCACCTTCAATTAATTATACTGAACGAAGACTTATCGTCATAAATGTAGAGCTTGAAATTGGGGAATTCTACTTAAGGTATATCGTCGATTATGATCCATAGAATATTTCTACTCGCTCGTGACTGATCTAAACACATCACTTTAACAAATATTTTCCCTCCTAAAACTGAGGTATATCTGAGGATATCACCCACGTGATACCACCCGATTTTCAAACCTTACATCCACTATAATAAGTCTTCGTTTAAAACTCAATTTAAGATGAGAGAGAGTTCTACGGTTGTTACGGAAGAAGGGAAATATTTCTATTCATAAAGTCATACCAGAGAACACTCGAAAGAAGACATCCCACGCTTAGAACATTAAGCTGTTCGTAAATATTTTTTCACGTGTTTCGCAAAATATTTTAAGGATAAGAAACACAATAGCCTCTGTTTTGCGCGAAGATGCTCGTATAATTGTTCTTGGGTATTATCTGTTCCTCGAAGCTCATTTCTTTCCTTGCCATCAGTTTATTTCGTTCCCTGCAGACGTTTCGTTCCTCAGTTATAAACAGCAAGTCTGAAACAGAAAAATAAAAATAAAAAAATTAATATTTTTTCAATTTCCCATTTCATTTTCCCATTCCTCTTTCCCATTCCTCTTTCCCGCTTGTAGTAATATCACTGCGAAAATGTGATCGATATCAATAAATTCCTTTTCAGTATTTTGCTGCCCAGCTGTCACTTTAGAAGACAATGAAGTGTTCAACCAATCAACTGCGAATCATCGCCTTGAATATGTTGCTTTTCGTCTTCACTAAGACTGTGGCATATCCCTCGGGGTTAGAAGTTATAAATGTGACTTTCTGTGGTGAGTTCCTCTTTGGCTTGTGACAAATATACATCTTCAAACGTTAAAAAACCGTAGTAGGTTTAATGCTTGTCTTTTTTGATTGTGCAGTTCGATATACCTGGTGAGAGAAGTCCTTACTCTGGGATTGTTGTCGCAAGCAGCGATTAACGTTTCGATACTCTTAGCGGAAGTCATTATTTATTGACGGGGTTCGACTCAGATGAAGACTTGAACAATAGCTTAAAAGAGTTAAACGAAGTTGACATATTTAAACACAAACCAGTCTCCCAAAACACAAATTAATCAACCAAAACACAATCAATTTCTCAAAAACGTTATAAATAATCACAAATTTTATCATGTTGGTTTTAATAAATCAATTTCAATTTTAGCAAATGAAGTTGTGGACTAACTTTACAGACAATCAAATCAGATCAGATGTCTTTTAAAGCCTATTTCCCTTGGGTGGGCGCCTCGCATACGTCCTACTGCCCCGTTTGCGCCCTCCCCTTTGGATTTTTATTCTTTGAAGTTATTCGACTGATTCCTCCATATCCTTTGACTACTGTTTCTGAATTTATTGCCAAATAAAGATTTAAACAGAAAATAACACAATCAATTGCGTTCAAACCAGTTTACTTCTTGTATTTTTTACAGGCAACTACGATAAGACAGCGAAAATCAAAATTTCTCCATGGCCTTTCATCCCTACTGGAGCTATCGTTAATTTAACAGTAATATTCACACCCGGTAAGTTGATGTCAGTGGAATATGAATATATTCTATCGAATAATTTCGTTCGTGCTGTTGTTGTATTTCAAACATGCCACACGGTTCAACGTTATCCGTTTATTCAGTAAATACTAATCCTAGATATTCCCTTATATCACAAAAACAACTCTGCATCTGCGAAACAGGATTGGAAGAGAACTAGGCGACCCGTTCCGAGAACGTAACGCAAGAAGGAATGCAAAGGACGGATTACGAATCATTCTAAGCAGCATGATATGTCGCGCAGTCTGCAGCCCCTCCCTGCATCTAAGCAATTCGGAAAGTTGCAAAACATTGCAAAAAAAATTTATCGAATGTATCTATTGGCACTTTTAGCCTCCTCGGTTTCAACGCTTTGCATTCAACATTTTTAAAGAGATATTCAAAAACTCATTAATAATTCATAAGCCCATTAACCTATCAAATGGTAGATAATACATCACGTGCAGTGACTTTATATCGATAAACCTCATCCTTATTAGTATGCGGTGTTTTATCATATATAAAGACACTGCTCGTGACTTATGAATATTAATTAATTATCAACACAGAAACTGACACAACAAATGTTGGGAACATATTTAATGTTCTTTCAACAAATTTCACACAGTAAATTTACTTTTGCACCAAATTAATAGTACAGTTGTGAAACACACATCTGGAAAAATTCTCTATTCCATTAGTAAAGTAATCTGGTAAAGGCATATTAGACAATACATCATCTGAAACTTAGTAGAAGAAAAGTACAAAACACGTGTGAGATTTGATTTTCTTGCATACTAATTTAATCCCTAATGTTTTTCTCGTACGCTAATTTCTAACGTTCACAAAAGTATAATTGTTATGAACTCTCTTGACACACGCTTTTCCAATAATGTTTTTGAAGCCGTTCAAAAACTCGCAGCACGTGTTTTATCGGGTCAAAAACCACTCGGCTACGCCTCGTGGTTTTAAACCCGATAAAACACTCCTGCTCGTTTTTTAAACATTACATAAACTGCTGAGTTTATACTTCCTTGCGTTGCTCAATTTTTTCCGTGGGATGCCTGTGCGGTTGCCCGGCCTTTCTTTTCCATCGCTGACGCAAATCGACAAATTCTTGAAATGCTTGGAATGTTTGACATTTTCCGTATCTCTCAGCAATGAACGAGTTACCAGTAATCGGTTCCTTGTGTTAGCACAACGTTGTTTCGACGTAATAATACTTGATTTGATGAGAGTACATCGCTTTTTCGCTGCCATTTTATTAAAAATGGATTTATGTAATGTTGATGCAAGGTAAGTGAACGTTTTTGTGTGATTAACCATGAAACATCTAATAAAATCTACCGATTATCCGCTCATCTAGCGTAGGGTTTATTGCGAAATTGACATCTTGAATATCACAAATTAATGGCCTGTTTACATGGAGGTGGGATACCCTAGGTAAGGTGAGGTTACCCGCGTATTCGGGGGGAAGGGGGGAGTTGGAAACCGGCCTGTCCCTATAATCTCTTAGCTAGTCTTGATCACGTTTATATGGTAGATAGGATGACCCGCCTAGGCGGGTTGCCCGGTCTGCTGGGTAGGCTAACCCTGTCAGCCGGGGTGACAGTTTTCAATGTAAACATGTCATGGTGAGGTAACCCGCCTGGCCGGGATCGCGTTCATGTTATAAAAATGAGCAAAACAATACCGAAACCTACGGTGGCCCACAGAGGACATGCAATTTTTCTCTTTTGTTATCGGGCGATAAATCTCATGTATCGCACGATAAAATCAAAATATCGCGCGATAAATGGGAAATTATCGTGCAATAAATGGAAATTATCCCACGAGAAATGATAAATTATCGCGCGAGAAATGGCAAAATTGTTAGGTCGCACGTTCAATTTTTAGACTTCCGCCGAAAACAGAAAAACTAAGCCATGCCACAGACTGCAGCATTGTCGGAAAAGCAAAATTGCGGCTCAGTTTCATTTTTCTCTTTATTGTTGACAGGATTAAAATAGAAATAAAAGTTATGTCTCAATATTCTATCACAAGGAAAAAAAAGTCAAAAATTTTTGATTTGGCACTTTTGTATTTTTCTATGATAAAAAATAACGAAAATCAAAAATTGACATCAATTTTCAATTTTTGATTTTAAACGAAAATTGAATAGACGAATGACACGCGGACCAGAAATACGGGTATGTTCAAAATTTTCACATTTCTTAGCCGTGCCATGCAGAGCTAAAACGTTAAAACACCCTTTTTATGTCCTCTTAGCAATGAAACCTCACAGCGATTTAATCACGTTTTTACTCTAAACTCAATACTACATTCACATATTACGCCGAAGCGAAGACATTGTAGCGCCAGAAACGGTTAACGCATCGAGCTATTGGCGAAAATCTTAAAGGACGGTAAAATACTGACGTTTTTCGGCAACGTTTCACCACACGTCGCCGTTAAACTCCTTAATTACAAATGCGATAAAAACCTCGAGAAATTTCACCCCGGCATCCCGGGGTTGTAAGATTGTATGTAAACGCGGGCTTTTATCGACCTCGGCTAGGCGGATAACCTCACCCACCTGGGGTCCCCACATCCGTGTAAACAGGCCCTAACTTTAAATCTCTAAGAAATACCTCAGTACAATCTTATTAGTTGTAGGTTTTTGATGAGTAAATTACGGCGGCTGAAAATATACTTCCTCAAAGAAGAGAGGTAGTTATCAGCGGAAATGGAAATTATTTTACCAGGCTGCTTCTCTTTAGGAATGAAACAAGCGATAAGAAACACGAGGAGATCAATATTTTGAGGTCCAGTTTGTTTCGGAGAGATCCAAAGGATTTTGAGATGCCGCTCCTCGCTATTTTTTAACTACAAACACTGTCGCGGTTTATTCAACACTAAAATTTTCTTCGGTGATGTCTTTGGCTAATTTAAGTGACTAATCTTCGTATTTTATTTTAACTGCACTATTCCTTTCAATGAACCGCTCAGTAGCTGACGCATTCCACGGAATAGCCTTCAGGCGTATTGTTCTGTAAATAAAACACACAACCAACAATTCCTCTATTTATTTACTATTACGAAGGGCTAATGCTTCACAAAAACTCCCCCACTTGAGGGCATACTGCGCCATGTTTCTTACTGGTGTTTGTTTCCGACAGCTGTAGATGTCCTTGATGTCACTATTGAATACGAGTATGGGTTAGAATCGGAAAGCAAGGCGGTTATTAGAGGCAGGAATGACCATGTATGCGAAAGCAATCCAGACTTCTGCAACCTTCCCGCCGGTGGTAAGGTGTTTTGAAGCGAAAAAAATAATACAAAATGAAACTTTATGCGGATAGACCATCGGCTGTTATTTATTTACTAGCATGTCTATTTTTTCCCAGAAACTCAAGTGAAGACTATTTCTAAGAAATTAACAGAACTTCCACCAGTTTTGAAGGTAATCAATTAATAAATAGGTGTTCAACCAGCCATTTGTTTACAGTGCTTGAGATTGTTATAAGGTGGCTCTGCTGCGCTCTTCCTATGTTTTTTTATTTGTTTGTTTGTTTGTCTCTTTGTTTGAAATTTTTCTATCTTTATCTCTATTCAGCTTACTATTTCACCAAATAGGTGAGCTTTGATACCCAACAACCATTGGTCCCGTATCCATATTTACAGTGATTTTCTGCAAATGATAGTGATAATGATGATGATTTTCATCAATGCTCGTGTCATAGTGGTCGTTGCTTCTACATAGAAGCAAGACAGAGCAATCTATGCGTTTACGTTAAAGAAATTCTTCTTTTGTTTTCATTCCTCAAACCATTAGATGCTGACCGTTAAAGCAAGAAATCAACTTTTCAATGAAGAGTACATCATGTTTCTCTGTGTTGATGCGGTGTTCAAAGTGTACTAAAAGGCAAGAATGAGTAGCTGACTCTCGAGGAAGAGGACAAATTAAAGAAATAGATTAGACTGTAGGATGGAAACGTTTTGGTGTTAAAACCGCGAAATGTCTCTGACACCAACGACCTTATAACATTTATTAAAAGAATTGTCAACGATAAACCTACCTAGGGGAGTGTAAACTGGTAATCAGCTATACCCCACCCTTAAACAACGAGTGCGAATAGATAAGACGGGGTAATATATGACTTCAGAATAGAATCGAACTGACGACCTGTTTACAAAGTGAGTCACTTAGATATTTAGTAATCAAAAAGAGTCATCTTGAAACAAACGATACTGTAAGACAAGGTCTCAGAGTCAAAACCTAATAAACAATACTAATAAATTGAATACTTATCAGGTAAATTAGTGATCGATGTTTTACATCTACTACGTCAGCTTGTGTAAACCTCCAAGTTAGTGCAAAAGGGAGATAGACAGCTCATAGGAAAAAAAAGAGAGGGGCTGGGTGGGTGGGTTAGTTTATTAATAACTGTTCAATGTCCAAAGTCATTGATGACCAAGAGAAAGTAAATGTTCAAACTACTTTCACGCAACAGTTGCAAACCCAGTTATCCCAGATTAGATTGAAACGCCCCAAAGAATTAATCATTTGAAAGTAACCTGAGCAATGTTCACTGGTTTTATTTTTCGTTGACCACGTGAACTGAAAAACATGACATCCATGGCAACGACGAACGACAGTAAAGGTCGACATGGTCAAAGAAGATCTCTCACTTTCCCATTAAGGCTTCAGTGGACCTTGTAGAAAATTGGGAAAAATCTTTTAAGTCATGCGAGGTAAGAGATTATAAACTTTCAGTCAAGGCTAACTCAAATCAGTATTTTTCACAAACGGCTGAAAGTAGGCTGTGAGAGATTCCTAGGGGTTGGTAAGAAAAGGGATACTGGGGACAAAGTTGGTTTGAGTCCGCTGTGACCACGAAATGAACCAGCCTTGAATATAAAACAAGAATCAAAAACGGGTTGCAATCAGGAGAGAGGAACAATTCGCACGAATGAAAGGAAAAAAAAAAAGCAAAGTCTACCATTTGAATTAAAGAGATATTCCAAGGGTGCAAAAGAAGCGGATTAAGCTTTTGGACTCTTAATAGGCACATTACACTCGGTGCTTCCTTCAAAGTCCGAGAGATCAAGCAAGCGCATATGGCTAGACTTGAGACGTTCTTAGCGTAACTCCTTGATTGGCGATCACTGGGCAATATAATGCTCTATGATGAAATAAGACCACAGTAAGGGACAAAAAGGTTACAACAATGAGCTACCACCTTTTTTCAACTTTAACAAACTGCACTTATTGCATTTCACCTCCTTCCCCCAAAAGAGGGCCGTGCCTCTAATCGCTTATACTTATCTTGTGCGTACACAAGATCAGATAGGGAAAGGGGGAAAGGGAGAGGGGGCAGGGGGTGGGGGGCTGCTTATACAAATGTATGAGAAGACAGATGCCGTAAGAGTAAAAGGTGAATTTATTTTCATTGTGTCAGTTTAAATTAAGTATCTATACAACTTCAATCGGCGGCCTATCGTATATCATATACCAGACTTACACTTGTTATCCTATGTTCTACTTAAATATGTCCCTGCTGTTCTCCTCGAGCGATTGAGCAGCTAAATGATTAACTAATTTCGTTTTTTATCATATTTATGATGAAATTATTTTTATGAGAGATGTAAGGATAGCTTCTGGAAGAAAATACTTTTTCTCCTCCACTTTGCTCTCGCGTTTCTCCTCATCTTTCACTTGGTCGTTATCCCTTCTTCGACTCAGTCTAGTGTCCCTTAGCCACGACATCAAGACAAAGAAACATAACATCATCCTGGTTAAAAAGTTGCAGTCTTCCATGAACGGTCAGCATCTGGTAATTCAAGAGAAAAAAGAAAGGAGTTTGCCTTTCAATCGGGCGTATATATTTGTTTAACCTGTTTCTCGTTTCTTAACACTACGACTTACGCAAATCAACCAGAACTTAATCTTATGCTCACTAGTGCCAAGAAAAAGTTAATAGTAATTGAATGGCCAGAAAACAAGTACTGTGATAAAAACAGAAAAAAATAAATGTGAATAGACGCTAAGGATTATAATTAGGGCAAAGAGCGAGGAATTCAAGGAGGCTTGAAACTCACTCATGTCACTAAATCGATTACCTTGAAAAATGATGGAATTGCTCCCAATTTATCTGAGTAAGTGAACACGTGAGTTTCTAGAAGAAAGAAACAAGTAGATCAGGAAAGGGTACAGAAAAGCAGGAGGAAATAATAGTTATTAGCATCAGCAATAAAGTAGCATCAACAACAATAGCAACAAAGCGTCGAAATAAATCATCAGCTCAAAATTAATGCTTTTTTCTTCTAGTACAACTGACATTTTAAGTCGTGACTTTTCTCAGAGAATGTTTATTTACACAAAAGATCTCAAAAATCAATTTTTGATGCAAACAAGAATACTTTGAATTTTTTTGAGATGTTCCTTTGGAGATAAACTGTAAGTGGTTTGACTGATAAGAAATTCATCCTGGCGTTTTAAGATACAATATAACGATTTGGCTTGGATATATATCTAAATGTTCAAATTTCACGATTCGTGAGGAACATTGCCTGTCACAGCAGCAAGCCACCATCAGGAAACAGCGATGGCCTAAAAATTTTCAAGGTGTAGATAGATCTAAAGGGAAAGCCTTTATTTTAGTGCTAGAGTCCTAATTTGAATGGAGGAAAGGAAAAACCTTGTGTATTCAAGTATTTCCAAAAAAGGGAGTGTTTATGAAAAAAGTCTGACTTCGAAAATCATCCATCAATCTTCAAATGGCCTGAAATCAACCCTTCACCGTTGATAGTTAAAATTTCCCCCTCGAATTGAGATCCTCTCCGTTCTTTTGGCAGGACAAGAGATTGAGTGCAGAGCTGCATATCGACCACAGGAAGCCATTACGCATGTCCATGCTAAAATGACAGGCGCGTTTGAACTGACTGTGTCCAAGAGCTTCTACTGTCATCAGCGTTCTTGTAATTGGGCGTTTTTAGTATGCATGATTTGTCAAAACGTTTCAAAGAGTATGCGTTTTTAAAAGAAAACGAAGGGATGGGAGATCAGATTTGGCAAATTAAAAGATCAGAGCATAAACTGTTGAAGTTTCAGTATTCTGTTCCTGTATAAGAAGATTCTAGACTCGAATAAAACAGAAGGTCGACGCATAGACAGATCAGTCAAACTTACTTGACTGCCACTGCATTAACAGCTTTATCAATTCTGAACCGAGCATTACATTTTCATTCTGATCATTTATATACCCTACTTACCGTCTGCAGGTAAGCTGCATAATTCTTGAAAATCTGCATTTTTGCAAAAATTTTCCCTCCCCTTGAGGATAACCTTTCTGTCCGATTCTGACTTTAGTATGTATTTCGAGTACGCGTCAAGGACATCAACCGCTGAAGAAGAAAAGGATTAGTCATTGATAAGGTATAGTCGAAGCTCGCGTAACCAGGAGTTGAAAGGGGAGCAACTTTTATGCTAAAATTGTACCATTGCGATTATTGTGCCCTATTTTCTGAAACAAGTCTGAATAAATCTGAATTTAAATGGCAAATTCTTCTTTAGACTTTCTACCGTTAGCTCCCAGTTTTAAAGGTGCATCGACACTCTTTCTCGTCGTTATGTATATGAATTCCCTTTCCTTTAGCTTAGCTTTCTTTTTTTTTTCCCTTTGTTACATAGTATTGTGTCAATTTTTTTTATTCACACTCTAGAGAAACCCTTAGAGCCTCACTAAAAAATACAATTTAAAATACCATGTTACAATAAATTGAGAGCGAGGGTCGGATGGGAAAATATTCGGCTCGACGTCATGACTTACGGACTGACCGCTGAGGATCGAAAATTTCTTTAATTTCTTTTCAACCAAAATAAGACGTGATAGACGAGCGCACGCGGGACAACCACAAATAAATTCTACAATGAAAAAAATTCCTTTATTCTTTTGAATTAGAACAAGACACTCATAATTAATGGAAAACGCGACTTTTGAAACTCTTTTAAGCCTTTGCAGCTGAACTCGCGGACAGTAAACGACATTGCCCTAAATCTTAAGAGTACATTCACTTTGCATGTATCTTTTTTTTTATATAAATATGATTTTTATTAAACATCTAAATGAAAATCCACTAAGTTTGTCGCTACAATTTTCTTGAAGCAAAACATACCAACTTTTCATTCTCAGCGAGCACTTTAGGGAATTCTAGTCGAGAATTACTGAAGCTCTTTTATTATAACTGCGCAGCGAAAAATGAAGGCTTAAGACGGAGCAACCAGTTAGCTAAACTGCGTTTTAAAAGAAAGATTTTATCATGCTAAAAAAATTAAAATTTTTGTCGTTGTTTTTGACGTTGAAAGTGTCCTCTTGGTTTTCTCCAAACCAAATGCCTTTAAAAAATTACATTCTGGGATTTCGCCTAGTAAGGCGCCATTTGATAAAGGGGAAAGATGTTTCACTTTCTATG